CCCCCCCCCCCCCCCCCCGGCCCTTCTCCCCCTCACCCCTCTCTTCCCTCCCAAGAAGTGGGATGCTTCTGCCAACACTCACACCGTACACCTGCAGATGCGCACAGCACTGACTGAGTACCTGTCGTGAGCTCGCACTGGAGAAAACATCACTGGCATTGGCAACTGTCCACTCTCGTTCACTGTCTTCTCTATAACCGCCAAAGCCATCTCACCAGTGTAAGCGCCGGTGCAGCTCGAGGATGTGTAGCTCACCCGGGCCAGCATCGACTCCTGCCCAGAGATCACACACACACACAATCACAACATTGATGAGTTTACTGGAACATTTGCTGCGACACGAACACTGACTGATGGGTCCTTCAAATCAGATTTTCCACAAACTCGCACAATCGCCGACCACGCAAGCTGCACGCAGCGCGCACATTGTGCGAGAGGGACATCCTGGACCATGTCCTGCATGAAGCAGAGCTACCAAAGTCAGCCGTTGAATCTGCACAGTCTCCGGCCTCCTCCGGAGACGAACTACATCGCACTTCTGAAGATTGGGTCCAAGGCGGCGCATCCGACGCTGTGCCACTTTCCATGGAGCATCCGCTCTCAGACCCTAACATCCCAGCCTACGACTGGGACAAGAAATGAGCCCCTGGTTGAGTCGAGGTGAGCACAGAACGTCAAATTCCTGCTCGGTTTTGCACGGTGGCACACTACCTGAGTTCGCGGCCAACGGGGGAGCCCACCCACCAAGCTGGTGCTCTGGTGAATAGAGCCAAAGCAGTTCTGTTGGCTGCTTCCCCACTGTGGATGCGTCCATGAAAACCTGCGCCGGTCAACATACTACTGTTCCGGGCACACGAGCAAATTCAATCCTGAGGTGTGGACGTGGAAGCATTGGCAGGTTCTCAGCAAAGTGGCCAGATGGCAAAAGTAGACGAACTCAGCCACAGAAGGCACGCTCACGCGCAGCAAGCTGATCTGTCTGTGTGTCTCAGGCCCCAGCCATTGCCGGCGCATAAATCTGCGGCCCTTTCAAGTTCAGACTGCGCCCGACCGCCGTCACGGCCTTTGACACAAGCTTCTCCTTTGATTCGGGCAGCGACGCGCGAGCACACGAAACGGACAACACTGCTGCATATTTAAAGATGAAAGGGGACAGGCGACGGTCCCCTCCCAAAGCTTCCGGATCACTTGCTCCACCAGAACAGTGACCACATGAGTTTTCCGCCTCTTCTGGTTTTTTATTTGTTGCTCCTCTGTCAAAAGCTCTGCGTCTCGCAGCACCTTCGAGCACTGAGAGTCTAGGTACTCTGCGATCTCCGACATCAAGTTGAATACACGACACAACAAGGAATCTTGAATTTCTGGTGTGTGCTGTGGATCCAGGGCGAAACAAAGCAATTCCGCCAGTGACACTTGTTCCAAGCCGCTCGCACTCGAGATCCACGGCTTCTTAGTAGCCTTGCGATCAGCCTCCCAAATATCTGCGATATGCTCGTTATAAAACTCCGTTGTCCAAAAGTCTTGGCCTGACACACGTCCTTCGAAATCCACGACCAGATCTAATTGTTGATCATCTCCAAACCTGTCCAGTTCAAGCTCGAACCCACCCATCGTGCTAGCCAACATCGACAGAAGCTTTGCAAACCCTTCGCAGCCTTTGGCCCTGTCCTTTGGGCCCCTGTATTTGCAGTGCATGCTGAATGCTGCGGTCGCCATAAGCACGGACGTGGTCATGGTCCGTTCTCTGAACCATGCCTTCTGATCCATGTCACGTCGCCCTCTGCTGAAAGGGTTCTGCTTGGGTTCCCTCTCCGGGACTTCGAAACCAGGCCAAATCATGCGGTGGTGATCTTGAATGGTCTGTTTGTCCTCACGAAACGATTCCAAACGTTTCGAGTCCTTCTGCGTCCGGAAGAATAGCCCAAGAGCCTGCACCGGAGGTCATGCAGTTTTGCATGTGCAACGTGGAGTACCTACGCGCAACGACAGAAGAGAACAGCCTCTGTCGCCACCCATTCACACTGAACTTGCTCGGAGGTGTAAACCGTGATGCCCGTGCCCGCCACCTGCAGCAAACCTGAGGCATAAAAATTGAACCATTGGAGGCTAAAACCATCAGGCCTGTGAGTGTCAGTCATTGTTCCCACCCTACACAGTTACACACACGGATCTGGTGCCGAGACCAGCGCCGCGCGAATCGAAGAGTAGTGAATCATCAGCTTCAGCCATGAGGGCCACCGCCTGGAGTTTGAAAGCAAGGCGGTTGCCCTATCCCTGCTGTCGGGATCTTGCAATAAGCCCCCGACCGGTGCCGAACAGCAGGGTTCGATCAGAGAACCATGCCGCAAGGATGCAAGGTGAATCAAGTAATGAAGTCACAGCAGTTTGTCACACATTCCGCAATTCACAAGAAAAAAACACGCTGCGCAACGTTGGTTTGTGTTATGGGGTGCACGGATGCTTCACAACTTGAGTCTGTCATGCTCCGCTGAAGCCTCGCAAGTCCTGTGACGGGCAGTGTTAGATACAAGCAGCGCATCTGGAAATTTGGAAGCAAGCTGAGTTTGATGTCCCCAGAAATATTGCTTAATTAGACACTAATTTGGGTCTGAACGGGGCGACAACAAAATAAGACCAAAATAGCTTATTCCAGCCTTATTTCCATATTTAGTTCGACCCGGAATAAGACTTTATTAGTACTCTAATAAGGCACTGTTTGGGGGGGGGGGGTAGTAAGGCGGGGGTTAGGATAAGTTTTCATGATTTAATACTTATCCGGGCATATGCCAAGATGTACAATACCATGCCTGGAATCAGGGAGTCGGACCTGCCCAAAGAAGAGGTGGGCGGTGCGAACGCGCTGTCTCGTGCATATTGTACTGGTAGCATGCACCGCCTGCTGCCTACGCAGAGTGACCGCATCTTCTTCGCGGAACGGGTTTTATGCAAAGTGGCCATGCCAAACTATCAGAAGTGTCAGCATGGCGCGATGTGATGCGAGGCGGCTACACCAACCTATCCTGCACACTGCGATGCACCGCCAGGGGCCTGTTGCCAGCATCTTTCCACATTGGTGGAGTTAAGCAGCCCGCGCAGTTCGGTTCAAACGTACCGCTTAAACATGTGAGGTTGGTTCCAGAGCGTACGCCGTCGAAGCGAATCCGATCGAAGCGAGCAGCCGAGGCCTAGACGGGTCTTGGGGTATCGTTGATGTCCTTTCCTCTGTGGGCAGGCCCACGACTCGCCCGGTGTCGGATCCCAGAGCCTTGGCGACAGACCAGACGCTGGGGGGTATTCAGCCTTAGCAGAAGTTCTGCTGCTCCCTGGAGCCGAGGAGAAGCGGAAGCCCAACAACGCAGGCAGCATGCATTGCTCCGCTTCGCCTGAAGTTTTTACAGCCCTGGAGTCTCTAAGAAACCCCCCAGCTGTGGTGCTTGCGAGTGACTTAGTGCTGCGTCGTATGGTCAGCAGCATTTGCGGCCCTCTTCACCGCCAGGGCTTGCCGAAGCTCCAGCGGACGGGGGCATCAGAGCTTTTTGGCGGCAAGCTGGTGATTATGTCAGGTTGCCTCTCCCAAGGAAAGCTGTGAACTGCTCGAGTTGTCTCAGTCCGGGCCATGCAGGAACTTGGGTGCCGGACCAGTCGAAGCAGACGAAGGCCAGGTTTGCTTGGGTCACTACTTGAAGGTCCTTCAGTGTCTGTGTTCCTGTGGTGGTGTATGCACAAGCATCAGTGAGGACGGCTCGTAGAGCAACAGTGGACAGATAACAGTGGATTCGCTCAATGAGTTCTGAGGATGTGTGGCCACTGCAGACGAGCGCGCTGCTCCTGCACGGCAGGCCTGCGAACCTGGCAGCCCAGTTGCTTGGCTTTGAAAACCTTGTCAATGTTACAGCAGCGCTTGCTTGGCATGGGATGAGCGTCAGCACATAGGATCAGCGTGACAAAATAACGCCGACATTGAAATTGTGTACATCAGAAGTGATCAGTTCGTTTTGCAACATCCCAGGAAACAAGAAGGAAAGGGCGTAAAGCCAAACACCCAAATGCGTCTGAAGGCGCACCTTCGCAGCGCACCTGCATCTAAAGTGTGTTGCAATGGCTAGGTTCTCAAGTGGCGCTCTTCATTTGCAGGGCTGTCGTTTGGAATAAATGTGCCCAGGCCACGAAAGGGGAGAAAGAGCGATGCAATGCTGGGGATTCTTTGCTGCAAAGGTCACGTTGCAACTGTTGCACGGGCAAGAAACCTGAAAACCTCTTGCAGTCCCATAAGACTCTGGAAGACACTGAGTCTCCTCTATAGCTGTGCGTATCCTTCCCAAGTCGATTGCTGCTGTACCTGTCACCCTTCCCTCCACTCCATCCCTCGTACATCATCGGATGCACTTCCGGCTCATGTGTAAAGTCTTTGCCAAGGAGTGCTGAGGTTTACGTCGACCGTGCTCCATCTCCTCCAGCAAGCCAGGCGAGATGCTGCACGTCCTTTCCTCGTGACTTGCTGACAAACGTTGCAGAAAATCCAACGTTTGCCGGTCCTAGCGAGGCAGCTGCGGAAGTTGCGCCCGGGGATAACGGCCAGGCCTGGCTTTTCGTATATGTTACAGTCATGTGTTACGACTCTTGCGATGGGCATCCCGCAACATCCTCTGAAAGAGCCGCTCGTCCGACTGTCTATGCTGTGACATCTGGTGTTCGTGCGGAGGCAGGATATCGTCAAAGTTCCAAAGGTGCATGAAAGGTGGTCTTGCTATCGGGGAGCTTGATCGAAGTATATCAAAGGGCTGTGAAGTGAAAGCATCTGGCAGATGCAGCTCTGTGTTGCACAAGCGGGCCTCAGCATCTTCACGTAGTGGTGAAGGCCACAGCCTTCGAGAATCTGGATGGCAGTCTGGAGGCCGACCTCCTCGCGGAGGCACGATACCATGCACAGAGCCGCTCCATCGTCCTAAATGCCGAAAGCTCCCGAGCGGTCAGGAGCCACTTGTACAGGGACCCGGCATGCTGACCGTCACTGTGCCAACAGAGGCAGTGCCCAGGTTCCGGGAGCCGGGTGCTTACTAGGCCACACCTTGTGAGTATCCTGCATCCATGCTCCTCCGAGGTGGCTGGGCCACCTCCGATGCATTGCGGAGGCCGAAACCAGGGGCTCGCATTCGTCTTCAACGAGGGGCTGGATGCGTGCAAGCTCATGTGCAGGTTGAGGCGGAGATCTTCCCGGCAAACGTCGGGCAGACGGAGTGGGAGGGGGAGGCGGGCTAGGCGAAAGGCTCCAGTCTTCACAGCATAGTACGGGACCTGATAGGTTCCCAGATACTTGGAGATCACCTGCCCGAATGGGCAGCACGTGTGTCCGCTGCTCACGCGCTGGCTGCGACGCCATCCGCTCGAGATCTGTGCGCGTAGTACTTGAAAGGTGCTGGGAAGTACAGGCGCCTTGCCAGAAAGAAGGTGAACAGTCAGCCCATTTGGAAGAAGGCAGCCTGACCAGCTGATGCAGACTTGCTGTAAAGAGTTAACAGTTAAGCGCTGGGTGCTGTGCCAACAATCCGACGAAGCCTTGCTCTGTGTGATACTGGACTTTCAAGCTCATGTGCTTTTCTTTTGATGCCAGGTCGATGCCAATCGATGGGTTTACAGCGGCACAGATAGTGCCTGACCTACATTTAATTGAACATCGTGCTGGCAATACAGAAGCGTACTTGATGTTTGGCCAGGCACGTGGCTGGTGGGTGGAGTGAAGCAGCGAGACATGGATTTCATGTGCCGTTTCGCAGCTGCAGTGGTACTACCTTTCATTGCTGGTTTTGCGCAAGTTTTCCGCATGCCTGATGCCGGAGACAATGGCAACATCTCGCCACAGCTGCCCTGAAGGCAGCTACACCGCAATTGGTTTAGGGATCCCTCCTTCCTTTTCTGTCGATGTCCGAGGCTCCGGCCTGCTGCACCAGGCCAAAGTCCACGGAGGACACCTGCCACACAGGCGCAGAGACCGGATCTGCGTCCAGCGTCCTGAGCATGTCCTTGGCTGTTGCCAGCCTCCCGAGGCCTGGGCCTGAAACTGGATCCTATAACAACCTGTACAAGGAATCTGTAACCTTCCAGAAGGAGTCTAGTCCGCTCTCCGGAAGAGTCCTCTCATGGACTTAGACTTGGAATCAGAGTTGCCAGGCTGGAGCCAGGTGGCGGCGGCCCTGGTTTTGTCAGGGTGCAGTGTAGGTGCCATCGAATCATTGGAGTTGATTTCCCCGTGCTCTCACTGCGGCACGAGCCAAACCTGCAGTGGTGACAGTCTCTCTGAACCTGTCCACTGCAACTGGGTTTACTGGAAGTGTTTGACAAGGCTGGCGGCGTGTGGACGGGAGTGGCTGGGTCCAGGCCTACGGCGCGAATGCGGTTTCAGAATGAGGCTTGCAGGCTGCCCTGCCAGGACGCAGACATCTCCATTACCGCCTCCCCGGTGATGCAGCCAGGCCGAATGAATCGCCCCGTCCTGTCATTCTGCTGACTCTCCTTTGTCCGCTGAGGTGCTCCGGTCGTGGTGGTCGAGGGGCTACGAGAGGGCCGCTTCGGGCGAGTGGTAAGCAGGACAAGAAGCGGAATTTTCTTCCTCGTGCTCTAGACACATTTGCAGAATCAGAAAGCTTATCACATGAACTGCTACAACTCATAGTACGACATGGAAAAATGCGGTGCAGACGATGCTGATAAAGATTCCGCTGCAACTCAATCACTGACACGGCAGTTGTGGCGACACTGCAGGAGAGAGGAGTCAGAAACAGGCGCTGTCTTCTGGACAACTCGCTTCTCAGATGGCGAGGACAGCACTGCCGTTGTTTGAGGGAATGAAGATGCAGCGACTACATGTACCACAGTTGTACCAGACAGGTGGCTGAACATAACTTGAAACATGCTTGCTGCAGAACACTAGCAGCGCCACGCTTTGCAGTCAGTACTGGTACTGCATGACGGCAACTCTATTTAGGTCTAGGTGTGTTTAGCAGGACTTGCCATTGCACCAGTGTCATGTGCTAAATTCGTCTGGTGTTTGCGGTGTAAGCATGATTCCTGCTTCGAAATCCCACACCTGTTCTGGATGCCTGCTTCGAGGAGGAACTCGGCGATGAGCTGCTGGAAGTTCGGGAGCTCCAGTCTGGAGAGGCGGACGCCGAGAAGAGTCCTTTCAACCACTCTCAAAGCGGCCTTCCCTTAGGTGTGGCTCTCTGTGGCGGGCGCTGCTGCGCCCGCGAGGGCCGCCTTGGCGGCCGAGGCCCTCTCCGGAACTTTGCTCTACCGGCCCATGGCTTCCGAGTCCGAGTCCCCCGAGGCTGGAGCCTTCGAGAAACACAGTCATGATGTAGCCTTCTGTAGCCTACGACCTTTGGGTCCAGTCTTCGCCGTGCCTACTGTGAGGTGGCAGATGCGGCTACCGACATCCTGCTCCCAGAAGAGCTTCTGGAGAAAGGACAAGCTGAGCTTCACAGGCTCATGGAGAAGCACCAGGTCATCTTCGGCTTCCTCAAGTCAAGTTCAGACCCGAAGGCGAGCTCATGGCTGCGGCTGCTGGTCTTCAGCTTTGATCCGAAACCAGGGATTCTGGCGCTCCTGCAGCTCACCGAGGAGCTGCTCCCCGGTCGGCTCGAGCGGATGCCAATCATGCCAACCAGCTCTGCGAAACGGCTTGGAGCCTCTGCCTTGCGTACCCCCGTCTACGGCGGCGAAGCGGCCTTGGCCCGATATCTCCGGATCCTCCCGCGCTGCCTCGAGGCCCGTCTGGCATAGGCCTCCAAGTGGCTCTCAACGCTTCCCTGAAGGTACTCTCTGCACCCGTGGGACTCGTGAGTGTCGGTCCCGGCTTTTTTGCTGCAGATAGTGCAATCACAGCAGCCCGGGTCAGCCGAGGCCTCCTTGTCGGGCCTCTTCCGGCGCGTCAGGTCGGCCAAGCATTCCTCGAGATGGTGCGAGCCCCAATTCGCCATGGATTAAAGAGCCGGCTCGTGCCAGCAGCCATCCCTTTTGCGGCAGGTGCAGATGTGGGCACCGGAGGCACCCTCACGTCATGTCCATGTGTCTCACATGTGGAAGTTGGCCGAACATGGTGGAAGCCTTGTTGCTGTCGACGCTGTGTACTGATTGTGTACTGTGTACAGTGGCGGCCTGACTTTGAGGTGCCCCATGAGCTTGAAGCTTTCGCGGCATGGGCCTGATGGACTGCGCAAGCAGAACCTGAGCAGACACTAAGCAGTAAGCTTACATGGAAGTGCACTCGCTGCCGAGGCCAGCATCAGAGTGCCACATGCTGCCGCGGAGGCCGGAGATGAATAGGTTGCGAGTCAGGCCTTCCCGGCCAAAGCCACCCTCCTAAAGTTGCATCCAGTTTCAAAGATCAGCAACACCTGCAGCCAGCACGATGTAGGCTCTTCAAAAGGGAGGGTGGGGTGCTGAAGCTGCGGTCGGATGCATGGCCACAACCTGATCATCCGGATCTGCAGCTGCAGGATCTGGAAAGATCATCCAGCAGAGGATTCCTGCTGCCCTGTCCTGCCAGGCTGTGGAGAAAGAGCTGGAAAGCTTAGAAGCCGAATTTGGGGTGTGAGAGTCCAAGCTGGTGGGAGGAGAGAGCCCCTGCTTTGCATCCGACCTCCAGGTCGGCGGTCTGGTGCAAGCAAACCGATTCCCAGACCGACAGCCAGAAACTGAAAGCCGCAGGCTTAGCCGCATTTAGCTGCAGTTGCAAGACGTAACTGTCTTTAACTGTCTCTGTAGCGTACTCCGTTTGGTGTTTCTTGAGGCGGAGCTGGAGATGGACGAGGCGTGAGAGCGAGCTGCTGTTGTAAGTGCCAACATCAGACGGTTGTAGATCAAGGATCGCTTGACAAGCCGCTTTGCAGTATGCTACTCCTGTCTTCTGCAGGAGGTCAGGCCCGGAGTAGAAGTTCGTGCCGTCTTTGAGGACGGCGAGTGGCCACTGGCCTATTCGTGCTTGAATTGAGGAAGTCGGGAGTGAGGGACACTGCGGCTCAGACTGACTTGTTGCATGCGCTCAGGTACGACGCAACGGTCACGGATGTCGATGCATTGAGTGGGAAGGTCAGCCTCAAAGGGCTGAGCAGCTTTATTTCAGAGTTGTGTGTTGTCCCACTCAGCTTCAGCTACACACTTAGCTCGTTCTTTCCGCACCTGCGGCGTCTGCTCCGTATTGCGTTATACAACCGATCCAGACGGTTCAGGTGGAGATTCGCTGGAGGTGTGATTCCAGTACGTCAAGGATTCCTCGGCAGGACTGGCACAACTTCATATGCCTAGGCAGCGGCCCCCATCTAAGGTAGATGTTGGGTTCATGTTTCGGGTTTTGGGTTCCGGGCGTTAGGGTCTAGGGTCACGAGGGTGCGTGGTCGCGGGGTCACCGCTGGAGTCAACTGCGAAGCCTTCCAACCTTCAGGATGTGAAGCCCAAGCCCTCCGCGGAGTCTAAGAGAAGGCGAAGATCGGCTGTGGACGTAAGCGGTGTGCAAGCACATCCGGGCCCCTCGCAGGCAAAAGCACGAAAATTGGCTCGCCTCGGCTTGGCGACTGGCGGTCTTCGGACCTTTGCAGCAGCCTCACAAAGCCTTGCACTTTGAGCACCTGGAAAGCATCGGCTTCGGCTCCTGATGGCTCCTGTGCTTGAGGCGAGAGCGGAAGATTGTGGTTGTCAAGATCGCGACCATTGTGCAGCCTGCCTGTTTGGCAAAACTGAAATCAGAGCTTAGCCTTAAGAGGTGCATGCTACTGGGGTCGATGCCAACCTGCTAGATGGTTCTATCCTGCTGGGAGCTGATGCAGTTCTCTTGACGTTTAACAGGTCGAGGAGCAGTGTCCTGGCCTGTGGACCACTGAGCTGCTTCGAACTACGGAGGTGGGAAGGGCCTGTCAGTCTGTTTATCTCTCCACCTGTCGAGCGCCGCAGACGTGGGCCGAAGCCATGCTAGCAGGAGCTCAGAGGAAGCGTTGGCGAGGCAGCCGGCTTTCATGCGCGACTGCGAAGCTTTGTGTAATATCGTGCAGTTTTTATCCCGACCAGTAGGGCGATCTCTGAGGGCCTCAAGCAGGATGCTTGAAATGCCAGGACACTTCCATTGATATCAATGTCGTTCCGCTGTCCAGTCAAGGCAAGAGTATCGAAGAGAGAGGCTTTCGACACTTGGCACTTGGCCGGGCCAGGTGCAGGGGCGTCCCTGCATCATCTCAAGAAGCAGCTGAAGGCAGGGGGGTGTCGATGCACGACCTTTGTTCCCCGCCGCCTCCCGTGGCAGAATGCCCTTTTTCAGGAATTCGTGCGCCGAGCAAGCACCGCCGCAGGATGCCACATGGAGCTTCTTCGCCAGCTGCCCAGACTCGTTGGCCGCTAGCTGGTATTACTCTCTGCTCACCTGGATTCCGTTAACCGTCCTCGTCCCCGTCGTCGTCCTCGTAGCAGTCGCCGTCGCAGTAGTAGTCGTAGCAGTAGCAGTAGCAGTAGCAGTAGCAGTCGCCGTCGCAGTCAGTAGCAGTAGCAGCAGGAGTAGCAGTAGCTGTAGCAGTAGCAGCAGCAGGAGCAGTAGCAGTAGCAGTAGCAGTAGCAGTAGCAGTAGCAGTAGCAGTAGCAGTAGCAGTAGCAGTAGTCGTAGTCGTAGTCGTAGTCGTAGTCGTAGTCGTAGTCGTAGTAGTAGTAGTAGTACATTAGCTCATCTTTTAGTTCGGACTGTCGTTTTTTATGGCGGATATACGTACGGAAAATGG